TGCATGCCATTTTTTTTTTTTTTAAAAAAGAAAAGAAAGTTGAGCGGTAGTTCCCCACATTAGTCTGAAGTTAGACAGAAGGTAGAGCAGCGTGACACCTTAGAAACTAGTTTAGAGACTTGAGCTTTCCTAAGCCACAACCTACTTCAGATGCTATAAATGGACTGGCAGAAATAAGAGTTTTAAGTAAGAGGGAAAGGGATGGGGAAGGGAAACTACCAGGGGAGAGATCTAAAGAACACTCAATGTTCCTCAACTTGAGGACCACTAAAAGTTAACACCTACCCCAGGTAATGGGATAAGAATTTACAGACCTTGTTGAAACCATGGTTAAAACACACCACACAGTCTGTGGATGATGTATTGGTTTTGCAATATTGTGATCAAGCTGTTTTTTAAAGAGCTTTTGTCCATGTGTTTGTTTAAAGGAGAGCTACTCTAAGGTCACCAATGGAATGAATGCCTAGGGAGGTTAAAGTGTCCTCCCAGAAGCCTCTGTGCATTTCTGGAATCTGTATCTATTTATTCTTTACATAGAGATCACCCCATCTGGCCAATATAGATGGCAGAGGGATATTGTAAGCAGGTGATGGTGTGTATGACCTTGGTGGAAGCAGGCAAATGAGTATCATTTGCATTGTTTGATCCAGTGATCCTCAGTGTGAGCTGATAAGGGGGCTGTGGGGGGGTGGAAAGGATGTAAAGCTAGTTTAAGGAAGCAGGTTCTGGTAGATGTCAGTGCATCTCTCCCCCAAGATGCAAGAGAAAAAGTTATTAATACTGAACAATAGTGGTCAAAATTTATAATATGCTTACCTTCTGCTTTACTGTCTCTTGTTTTATATTTGATGTAGACAGTACACTCTGGCCAGACTCTCCATCTCTAAAACTCTGGTGTAATGCAAAGATAAATTTAGAACAATGACTTTAAAGAGAAGAGTATACCCAGCCCCAGCTTGTAAAAATTACTTGCAGGTGGCTAAAAACATATCTTTTCACTGAAGACATTCTTATGCTTCAAACTACCAAACTGACATTTACCTTTACTAAAATGTAAATAGGATGGCTTATAGGATAGTCAAATTCATCTGGTTCTTTTGATTAAACTGCAGGCCTTGTCCTGCAAACTTTTATGCTGAAGTAAAATTTTATTCATATGTACCCTCTCTTCTTTTTAAGTGGAGTTACTTCTGCCATCGAACTTATGCATGCGTCAGAAGACTTGTGGCATTAAAAATAGCAGCTATTTTGTGAATTTCCTCTACAGGTAAGCCAAATCAAAAGAAAACCAGATCTTTTGGTCTCCAATTTAAGTCTTGCTATTTCCAAAGAGTCAGTTTGTTGAAGATCTAATGTTTCAATTTCAACAGCTTTTCATTTACAAAGGAATGGATTCTGTTTTGATGATTTCTCAAGATTGAAATTTCATCACTTCATTTATGTAGCGCTTCTAGGTTTGTTCTGAAGCTTTTATTCAGATACCAAGTACAACAAAATGTCCATCCCCTTCAAATTTGTGTAAATTTTAAATTCTTAATTCTAGACTTAGAAAAAAAAATTTAAAAACTTGTGGCATCACCCATAAAACCTGCCCAATTTTATTAAATAAATCAGCTACGCTTGCCTTCAGTAGTAGGCAGAGGAAATACTGTCTTTCTTTATTCCCATTTAACAGAGTTGCCACAAAAGGAAGAGATATTACACATTATCCCACACTGCAGCTGGATGGTGATTATGAAGAGGAAGCAATACATCTTTCCTATTATCCCATACCCTGAGGGCTCCTTTCTATACCCACTCCCAGCTCAACCATCTCTCTCTCAAAACTGCCTGCAAGACTGAAGACATGCATTGATTAGTTTTAGTGCAATTTTATAAAAACAAGGGAGATAAAGCTCCCTGTTAAAAAAACAAAAACAAAAAAAACAACAAACATAACCAGCTTGATTGTTTACCACGAGTGCTGCCAACATGCTTAGTGCTGAACCAGACAGACAGTGAAGCTCAAGCTTAAGGAGCTTGGAGGGATATCAGTGGCATACAAGTTTATCTGTATATACAGTTCACTTCAGCCAATACATTTAAGTGTCAGCAGGAGAGGATGGGGAGGAGGGGGAAAGAGGTTAACAGTAGGGTTGTGTGAAGCTTTGGTAGCTGATTTGATTCAGAGATTTGGCCGAATCTCCAAAATCAGAACTGAATCAGGAGACTCATTAAAAAAAAAAAAGGTCAGAATTGAATTGGAAGTCTCCGAATCAGTTCAGAAGAGATTTGGCCATAGATTAAATGGGCAGAAATCCTCACCAGACTGGACACAGCTGCCTCCAGCTGGTAAGTCTGTTGTGGTGGGTGGAAGGAAGGAAGGGACAGATCAATGTCCCCACAGCGTGGAAGGGATGGGGGCTGACAAGCTGCCCAGCCAGGGCAGGGGGGGCCCCACAGGACTCTGGTGTCGCAGTGCTGGGAGCGGGGGCTATGCCAGGCTGCTGCTTGCCCCCTTCCACCCAGACTGAGCTGTGCCCACATTGTGCCCCACCCCCTTCCCCAGCTGGGCAAGCGGCAGCAGGGCATAGCACCTGCTCCCAGTGCTGCCATGCTCATATCCTGTGCTCCCCTGCCCACCTGGGTAAGTGGTGGCAGGGTAGAGCCCACTATTTGCCCAGCTAGACCGGGGGGGGGGGCAGGAAAAATGTGCGCGCAGGATGTGGGTGCTTCCACCACAGAGCGGGGGCTACGTCCTACTGCCCTTTGCACAGCCAGAGTGGGAGGGTGTGGGATGCAGGCGCTGGGAATGGGGGCTATGCCCTGCTGCTGCTTGCCCAGCCAGAGGTGGGGCGGGGACGCATGATGCAGGCACAGCTTGCTCCAGGCAGAAGGGGTCAAGCGGCAACAGGGCATAGCCCACTGCTTGGCCAGCTGGGGCATGGGATGCGGGCACTGATGCTGCTTGCCTAGCTGCGGTGGGGCAAAGAGGGAAAACAGGACACAGGATATAGGTGCTGCAGCCCTGGAAGCAGGGGCTATGCCCTGCTGCCACTTACCCTCT